AGGAGGCAAGGGGGAATTGGATGGTGGAAGGTTCAGTTCCTTCCACCTAGCTGACCAGGTCTTGCTGTTTACGGACTAGTCTTGTATTTGTGTGCTTGAGCGGTCAGCATAGGTGACTAGGACTTGCACGCTGGAGAGTGTGTGAGTTGGCCAAGGAGGGGTGGCGTGGTCCATTCCACCTCTCTTCCCAGGACAGAAATGAAGTGAAGTGAGTGGTTAAATATAAGAAGGGACCTGCCTTCAACTCTGGTGTAAACATGTTCCGCTTGGTTCCTTCTTTGCCAGCCCCAGTAGGCCTGTACAATTGCACGAATGGCCAAGTTTGCAAAAGGTTTCTGCTGGCTTGCTGTTGCATCTTATATACGTTATTGGTGTGAACAGCCATAAAGGGAAGGCTTGGAAAAACAAAGCTGTGCTATAAAGCACCAAAACAGACAAGCTGTGTGGAATAAGACTGACTTTTTTTTTAACCCGCAAGAAAGGAGGCACTTTTTAAACTCCACCCTGCAGCTCGGCAACATTGCTATCTCAATGAACCCTGTTAGCACCCAAGACTCCTTTGCAGGCAGCACCCAGAGCTATTCATTAGCTGTTATTGCACCTTTGAGCTGCCTTCAACCTGCAGAGAGGGATTAACCCCTAAATTACCATTTTCTCTTGAGTCTGGTCCCTTTCTGTCACTAAGGCAGCACAATCCTATGCCCTGTGGTGATTGATCTAAGCCGCAGGCCCGGTTCTGCACAAAGGGATGCGATGGTCACCTCTCATTTAGCTCTCAAAAAAGTAAAATTATGACTGAGCTACCTTTCTTTGGATTACAGGGGGATGCTGACGTGAGCGACTGTTCCTTTATTTAAAATGAAAATAAGTATGTCCCTGCCTATGAGGAGCTAAGCTAAAACCCTTCACCCTGGTATCTGATTGTTGTTTGTTTGTTTCTTTGTTTCTTGAGGGTCTGAGGACTGTCCCCACTCCATTTCCCACCAACCCCAGACTTCAAAGGGCCACCTGTCCTGTTTTTTTTTCAAAACCAGAAGTGACCAGAAGATAAATTTACCATCCTTTTTTGCCATCCTTTTCATCATCCTTTAACCACCTTCACTGCCATCTATTTTAATTTATCTTGTTGGTTATTATATTTGGTTATTATATCTAGCCAGGGGGCCCTTTTGAAAGAGGTTTTTTATTGTGTTTTGATACTGTGTGGTTTATTTTGTTGTTAGCCGCCCAGAGTGGCTTGTTTGCCAGATGGTGTAGGTTATAAATCCAATCAATCAATCAATCAATCAATCAATCAATCAATCAATCAATCAATCAATCAATCAATCAATCAATCAATCAATCAATCAATCAATTATGATTTTGAAAAACAAACAAACCCAAATCTGTCTTTAATCCAAGATAAGTGTAAGTGATATAAAATAGCATTAAAAGGAAGCGTTATATCCCTCTTCATGCTTGTATTGGGTGTTGGCAAGACTGAAAGGGGCAGAGGAAGGTAGGGGGAGGAGTTTTTTTAAAAGAACTAAATATTGTGGCACATTAAAGACTTAACAAATTTGTTTCAGTGTGAGCTTCTGTGGATCAAAACCCACTTCTTCAGACCCACTGAAACAAAGCTGTTAGCCTTTAAGGGTGCCACAACATGTTGTCCTTTTCCCACCCACCTCCTTGCCCACCTTTTCCCCCCTTTAATGTTGCCAACATGCCGAAGCAGACTAACATGGATGCTTTTTTTTTGGAACTTGCTGAAAGCAATGTGATGGGTTCAATTTGGAGCAGGGTAGTAGCCGTTGTTTTCTACAATGAGGGATGCTTGAGGAGCCATGGCGGCCTTTTCTGAGGCTCCCAAGGTGAGCAATTCCCACTCCTGAAACAGAAAAACATCCAATTACCTGAACCTTCCTCCTGCAGTTCCACTTTATCCATGGATTCACGTTCAGGTTTTAGCATCTTCCGTCTAGCTTAGCTACACCGTGTAGTTTAGCTACAAATCTTTGGCCGGGGTCTTCTTTAGTTCTGCTCAGTCCATGGTGGTAAATTTTGGAGCCATTGTTCTAGGGTAAGATGTACAGCAATCCTTGGAATGGTCTACTTGGATTTTTTTGTGTAGAGGAAACCTGCTACTTGAAACTCCTTGCTGTTCAGTGCTGCCATTGTCCAGTGAGGCAGGAATGCCCCCCCCCATTGCTTCTCTCATACCCTGAGTCTACTTAAATGGGTGGGAGTCAAGCTGAATGAGAAGGCCACCTGAGGACATAAAGTTCAGCTACAGAAGTGCACCATCATTGCATGCGAGGCTAACATATAGAAGTCATTACCACAGGATGTGGTGAGAGCTGTTGGCTTCCATGGCCTGCTTAGAATTATTAGGCTCATTTTCTGTGTGTTTATTAACAGCTAGTAAACATGACTATTTCATTAATGATAGCAGTAGTAAATGTACTTGGTTGAAAACACCACGGCTATGAATACCAAAGGATGGGAACAGACAACAGGGGATGACCGTACTTCTGAGCTTCTAAAGTTATCCATTCTGCTTGCATTGAGATCAGGGTGGGTTTTTGTTGTTGTTTTGCAGAATTCGATAGTTAATTTTAATCCCTTGTGTTGTCACGTGACTCCTGGATTTGCCTTCAGACTGAGATTGACTCTTATGGGCCACAGTGGAATCAGAGAGAAAATATGATCATCATCCAGTGATACATGAGGCGTGGGCAACACTGAGACTGCAAATCCCCTTTTTCCTGCTCCTGAGACCGTCTCCCCACATTGACTTAACTATTTCTAAAACCCATGCCAGTGAAACCATGTTCTGAGTTTTCTCCCTCCTTTTTTTTCAGGAGGGAAAAACGTAGGGCTATAGGGTCACACAGGGCTCTATGGTAAAGGTGGAAACACCGACACCCTTCCATGCCACTGAAACAGGGCAGTTCTCACCACATTTTATAGATATACAGTAGAAGGTATAGCTCCTAAAGATCTGTGGGACATATGTGTACACCTACAGCTTTCCAACACAACAAAATTGCCCCCCTCTACTGCTGTATACACCTGCCAGGATTAAGTCTCACTGAACTCAGGTGGGCCGACTGGTCAGTAAATATGGGAACCATCACACACACACACAAAATCCACCTTTCCTTGCTGGTACTGTAGATTTCCCCTAGCCGCTCACTCACAGCCCCTCCTTTTCTAGCAGCCTGGTGTCTGTGATCCAGGGCATCTTAAAGGAGCGAGAATCTCATTATCTGGGGCCGGATTAGGGAGCAGGAACCACTCACAGCAAAAGGATTAGATGAGGGAGTGAATTTAATCCAGAGCCTCAGAGATGGCACATGATTTTCTTTTTTAAAAAAAAAGACAAAAAACAACAACACCTCAAACTTCTCCTGGTGCCAGGAGCCACATGCATGACAGAGGAGGAATGGGGGCATATTTTTCCCATTCGTGGAGAACTAGGAAAGGATGCTTGTGTGGGGTATAGTAAGAAAAGGGAGGGCTTTCTATGAAATGTGGAAGAAAAAGGGGGCCCTGCTCTGAAGGCTAGGAAACTGGAATTAAAACTACTGCTTGAGTCTGGAAGTCCTTTTTCCAAGCTAGGGTCACCCGCTTTTAGCCTGGTCTCCCTCTGTCCCTTATGCCACACCCAACGGGGCCTCCCTTGTCCACTTTGTGCCTCCACTCTACCCCACTGGATCCACTTATCCCATTTGATCTCTCTTCTTCCAAGTGTTGCACTTTCTTCCTCCTCTTAGTCCCGGCTCCTAACGTGCCCGCTTTGCCTGGCACTTTCCCATCTTCCCCCAGAGAGATGTATCTGTCCTTTTCATGGGAAACCCAGTGTGTCTGATCCACTGTCTGGAACTGATGGATTCATTTGGTTGTCCACCTGGGACCTGTGGTTAATGATGCAGAGTTTTGAATTTTTGGTTAAATTCCTCTAGCTGTGTGGCAGCAGTGCAGGGATTCACAGAGCAGAATAGATACAAGCTCCCCAGAGCAGTTCAGCCCTTTTCTCATTATCTGACATTCACAGTCTCAATAACTCACTCTGAGACATTAGTAATAGAAAGAATAAAAGGCTTCATTACTTGCAATTGAACAGATCAAACATCAAACTGATAAACATGACTGCTTTTAGCAATACTTCAAAAGACTCCCCGGGGGGGGGGCAGAGCAGAGAGGCAGGACCCTCTTTGAACTTAGAGGGAAGGAAGAAATGATGGGTTAATGCTGGATGGACTGAGATCACCCAAGTCCAGAAAGGTCCCTCCCAGTCAAACCTGCTAAAGGCAAAATATATGGCTGGAAAAACTCCAGCAGTTAATACCCCTGTGTTTTGTGTTTTCTCCCTTGCAGTAGCACACTTATTCTTTAAAACATACACACGTACTCCAAATTTTTATTCATAGTCCATTGTGACTATACATGCACCACATTAAAGAAAAAGCACGATAGCAACAATCAATAATTAGAGCTACACACTGAAACAAACCTAGAGGTAGCTCCATAATGTTAGGCAAAAAGCTGTAGAACAAGGATGTACAACCCATGATCATCCTCTGCAAATCCTGTTCTGCACTGCGATGGCCTCCCTTTCTCTCCTCTTCATCAGGCAAGCGTCTTTCTATATCCATCTATGGCACAGATCCACAGCCCATATAAGTCCGTGGCAAATGCAACCCTCTCCATCCAAGCACAGAGAAGGTGGGAAACCTTTAAGATGCTGAGGCAGCTTGTTGCAGCCTTTTCCCACTTTGTTTGGGAAGGGGGTCTCCACACTTTGGAAAAGGGGGCCCGTCCAAAGTTTGCATGAGGGAGAATGAAAGGAAGTCCCTGTCCAAAGCCAGGCTACGTACGCATGGCTGAAACGTGTACTGTGGGCAGGATGGTGAAGAACCCTTCTCTGCAGCTGGAACAGGATGAGGGAGGGAAGAGGACTGGACAGGAGAGCCCTCCGATTCCATGATGACGTGGGTTGTGTCTCTCTCTTCCAGGTGCTCAAAACCAATCACCTTCCAAGAAGCCCAGGAACCGCAGCATCTTCCAGTCCCTCTTTTGCTGCCTTTGCCATGACAACTCAGAGCCTATCCCTGTCAACAACAATGCCCCACTACTGGTGGAAGAAAATGGCTCGGTGACCAAGGTAGGCCCAGCTCTCAGTCAAGTAGCCTGGTTTCTTCACACCCATTGAAACAATGGAGGGTCAGCATCCTTTCTGTGAGGGTTTTGTGGGCAGCCCAGGCCCCATCTTTTGGGGGCACCCTAAAGGGGGAGTTTACTCTTTTTCTGGAGTACAGTTCCCAGAATCCCATAGCCAGCATGGCAGTCTCTGCTTAGAGCAGTAGATCTGGTTAACTAAAGAAGTGTTCAGATTCCCTAAAAGGAACATCCCTCCCTATACACCATCTTTCTGTTTTCCTTTTATTCTGTTACCTTTCTCCTCATCGGTTATATTTCAAGCATAATTGCTAGCAGACAACTAATAGTCTCAGTGCCCAAACTGTTACCTATCAGGCTGGAACTGGGAGAGTGCTCTCCAGTCTTAACAGGCCCTCGTCCTATGGTCCAGAGCCATGTCCATCTCACAAGAGCCAGACAGCCTCTGAGGAATGTACTTTTGGATCATTTAATATGTACTAGTTAGCCTTCTGTGACACGTTAATAAACCCCCCCCCTGTACTTATAGGGAAGGCATTTAAAGTTCTGGGCATGCATTTGGGTCTACCTGGCAACCCAAATACTAGAGATCTGCCTTTTTTAAAGACAACACTGAGAGATAAGACAGGTGGGCCCAGCTCTTCTGGTATTTGAAGTCCAAACTAGTAGTTTTTCTGAGCTCTATTTAACATTTTTAACCCTTCCAGTTCCCCCAAACCAGCTTGCCAGGGTTATCTTTTGGTCCTTCTGTGATATCCCAGGATTTATTGTCTGACGTCCATAGATGCTGGATAGCTGGAGTATGCCACTCGCTCTAGTTATCAATACTGTACAGTAGTGTCATTTTTTAATCCTCTTGCGAAGCCTAAGGGACTGCAGAGGGCGTAGCAAATACATAAGGTTCTTGCTTAGATTAGGTTGCCAGCCAAGTCAGTGGCTTCACTGGAGCCTTTAATCATCACCACCACCTAAGGCGGCTGAATTATGAGTTCCTTCTAAGCTGACAGTGAAAGTTGAGTAGATTTAAGAACATCCTCCTGATCCTTGTTCCTGGCGCCCTCTGGTGCCCACTTGTTTAACTGCAGTTGCCCTGGCTTGTGTTTAGAGCCAGCTCTCCCTTGTATTAGAGTGTGATCTACCTCAACCCAGGCACTTCCTGTCAACCCATATCCAAAAAACAACAACACAGATTTTGTGCCTGCAAGGTCACAGGGTATGAAATGAGCTTAGAATGAAAAAGATACTTCAGCTGCCAGTCCTTCTGCCTCGGTGGCCTCTTCCTGTCTAACTCCTGCTCCCTAGACTGAAATCCTGGTGAACAGCTAGAGTGCTCCCCCCACCCCCCAAGTCCCAAGCACTGGTTTGGAAAACTGGCATCAGCAGGGACTGCGAGGAGAGAACCTCCATTTTTCTAGAGGATACGCGGGGAAAACTGGTGGTCTCAAGTGCCTTGATGTAGACTGGACTCGCAGATCACCCTGCACAATTGTTAAAAGGCTGGGTTCTTCACTTCTGGTTCCCATCATCTCTCACCCTGTTATCCCTCACAAAGCATCCTCCCCCCTTCCTGAATGCATATGTGCCTCTCTACAGGCGACTGTCAGGTACCTGCTACCAGAAATCAAGCCACAAGATGCCAGCAAAATTTGTGTGGTCATCGATTTGGATGAGACGTTGGTGCACAGCTCCTTCAAGGTCAGTCCATCCCTAAATGTCTTTTCACGTCCATGAATGCATGCTGGAGGCAGGCGGGGCGGGCCCTTTTCTGACACTGCTCACTTGTTCCATCTTTATGTACTTTGCAATTTCTAAGAGGGTGTGTCTCCTGCATTTCCACTGCACCACGTTTCCTCAGCCTGGATCCCTTCAGAGGTTGTTGGACTCTAATGTCCATCATCCCCTACCACTGGCCATGTTGGCTGGAGCTGCTGGGAACGGAGATCTAACATTCATCTGAAGGGCTGCATGTTCCCCTTTCTTGCACTCAACAAGGATGCCTAAATTGCTTTCCACCCACCTTTTCCCAGATTCCTAAGAAGTGGGGGGGGGAAGCTCCTCAGCATCCCCTCCCCCAGCATCCTATCAAATTAGGGCCGTGACCAGAGGTGGGGGTATCACTGAGCAGAATGAAGTGATTGTCTCCAGCAGATGGTCCTGGTTGTTGCAAAAAAGAGAATAATATGAGAGAGCAGCAAATCATTATTTATTTATTTTTGTTTAATTGCATTTTGTTACTCCCAGGCAAGGTGCTTATGAGATTTTGTGTCCCCCCCTCCCCAGGGTCCAAAATAGCCCAGCCGTACTTGGGTCCTGTTTGGTCCTTCACTTTGAAGGGTCTGCCTTTGAAGAGAGAAGCATTTACTGCTCCACCTCATTCTCCAACCTTCCCGTCTTGAAAGGGCTGTTTATGTCAAGGCTAGGTTTGTGTGAACTGCAAAGAATTGTTGCCGATTGATTAAGAAGGGCAGCTAAGAGAGAATCAAGGGGAAAGTCCAGCTGAGAAACAGTAGGGAGGACAACAGAAGCCCCGTCGTGCTCCTTTCTACAAATTTTCCTCATGCTCAGGCTTTTCTGTCAACAGAACTGTTGCAAAGGGCAGCACTGTTTAAAAGGAGAGTGAAAATCCATAGAATAAACAGCAGATACATCAGTGGTAGCAGCCACTGGGGGCATTTTTGTTCTCCGCTGTTGCTATGTTACTTTCAAAAACATGTTTCCCCTGAAAAACTGTATCACCAGAAAAGGCAGCATGTGACCCACAGACGGCACACTCCTGTTTTTCTCGCTCCAAGACCCACCTCTAGACGACATCACACCCCCTCCCTTGCTGCAGTATATACGTATCTCTGGTGTGTGCATTCATACGCGGGTGTATATGCTTGTATATGTATATAAACACAGATGTAGGTTTGTTGCATGCCATCCAGTCACTCATTCAAGGTTCATAGAGATGTTCAAGGAGTGGTTTACCATTGCCACCACCATTCCCAGTGAGTTTTCATAGCCAAGTGGAGATATGAACCCTGGTGCTAACACTCTGCCCACCACACCAGCTATTCATATACATCTCTTGTCTAAAAGGAGAAACACAGATCTGGCACCTCCTCCGGTTTGTTTTAGAGCTTCCTCTAAAAATAAGGATGTGGTGGTTTGCTTTCCCTTCCCAGTTTACTTCCTTTTTCAGATAAAAAAAAAAAACCAACAGAAATCTACAAGGGCGAGGGAGAGGCCTGAACTGGCTCCTGGCACTGCCGGAGGTGCCCACCCAGGCTGTAACTCTTACATTACTTGGTGGTTTGTTTTTTTTCCGACTGTTACCCCGTCTTCCTCCGAAAGACCTGGAGGAGGACAGTAACTCTTCTTATCTCTACTTGGCTGCATCCTTTCTCAGCCTTGTACCTCCTGTGTGTGTTGAAAGCCCCATCATGCCTTAGCATTTGGATCTGCTAGGTTGGGCTTCATGGGAGTTGTAGTTGCGAACACCTGGAAGGCACAAGGTTGGGAAAGACTGTCTAATGGAGTCTTGCACCACGGAGTGCAAGATACAGGATTGATACTGAAATCTGAGAGTTGTGAGAGAGGCCAGTTGTCTCCCTCTCCTTTCCCAGGGAATCCTGCGGATCAGGTGGTGCAGAAGTACAGGGAATGCAAGGAACAACAGCAGTATCAGAGTGCCTCGTGTCTCGGCTGCACCCTCTGCAGAGGGTTTTGTCACAATAGCTATATGTTACGTCCAGTGTCGCAGGCAGGATGTTCCAGAGAACACAAGCAAGAGAATGCTCTTGTCTTCTGTCCTGCTTGTAAACTTCCTGCAGGCTTCTCTTGGTCAGTGTGTCATCTTCTAATTGGCCTTTTTTTCTAATCCGAGATTAATTTTTCAGAAACAATCTGTCAACCTGGTGGTTCTTATATTCTGACCTCCTTTATTTCCATACTATTCCCAGACTTCAAAATGCAATCCAGAATTGTAGCTCCAACATACCCCTATATAATCTACTATTCCCTTCCTCCTGACTTCAGCTGGAGCTGAAACCCTATAGAATTTAGAGTTCTTATCAACCTGAATGGAGTAACATTCTAAGGACATATCTATATAACTAACTGCCTTTTAAAAAAAATCAATGTAACCGGGTTGTACAAATTTATTTTCCTGGTCATGGCACTGAGATTTCTGTGCTACAAAATGGTGTGTGTGTGTGTGTGTGTGTGTGTGTGTGTGTGTGTGTGTGTGTGTGTGTGTGTGTTTCTGTTTGTGTCTTCACCTTTTTTCTTGCTGAGATGTGTTCAACATCTCCTTCACAAATCCAAGAGATCCAGTCAAAGTCTGCCCAGATATAACTATCCAGATAGTGGATAGTGGCTGGGATTTCTCATTGATCCCTTTAAAGGCTTAATTTACAACTTATTAAAGAAGGATCCCACTTTGATTCCTGCTGCAGAAGGACAGGAGTGGGGTGAGGCGGGAAGTGGAGACTATGGCTTACATATTGTGGGCAGAGCAGAGGTTTGACATGGGCCTTGTTCCAGAGGTTGAGTAGACTACTTGTGGACTTGCAACTCCCAGAAGGTTGGCTGTAGGATTCTGGGAGTTGGAGTCCAAAAATAACCTCTTCAAGCTCTGCCTGCTTCAATAAGTCTGAAGAAGCCGTTGCCAAAGAAACCTATTGAGATAAGAATTGGTGAGAATAGTTGTGGTCATAGGTACCACCAGCTGAGATCTAACATGCCAATTGTCTTGCATCTTTCCCCAGCCAGTGAACAATGCAGATTTCATCATCCCAGTGGAGATTGATGGAGTGATGCACCAGGTATGGAGATTATGGGGTCATGCATTAATGGGCAAAGAAGGACTGGTGGGGGGACAGTGCCATCTTCAGGTGGAACGAGCGGTCCAGAATGGAGCTTGAATTGCAAAAGGAGATTGTGGAGTAATTGTGTGATGCAACGTTCAAGAGGTGGAAAAAAAAAAACTCCATCAAACTCAGCTGGGGATGGGTGGGTTGGCTGGTTGTAATGGAAGCTGGGAGTGAACTTTTCCCTGCCCCTGTTCTTCTGTCTCAGTTGTGCTTGGCGCCCCTCCTTCTGAAGGCTGTGACCAGGTTCAAGTAATCCAGGATAGGCTGTAGGTACTGCAGTCAGCCTGTTCTCGATTACTTGGCCTTGGAGGCGGCCAGCTGCATCGGCCGGAGTGAATATGTGACTTCTGTGAACCAGGCTTTGAGAGCCAGAGTGATTCTAGGATGGCCTGACCACACTTTTTCATCTCAGGGGTGGCAACATCTCACATTAAACACTGAGTACCATGTGTCGAGACGGGGGAGAAAAGAAACCTCAGTTTCTCTGTGTGAAGGATGTCTCGCCTGTGAGTCAGCCAATGGACCCAGGATAGTATATGACAAACTCAAGTCTTGAAGCAGCTTTTTGGGGGACCAGCATGCATAAGACCCCAGGATTGTATTCCTAAGGTCAGCCAGGGCCTCTAAAACAAATACCACCCCGATCTCTCTGCCCAAACTTTGGGACCACTAATCCTGAACAATCCCTTACCATCTCCTCCTGAAAACTCTGTTACCTGGCTTGTTTTTAATTTTCTCTGTCCTTCTCAGTAGCTCACTCACTGTCGGTCCCCAACATAAAAGGTTGGCACTAAAATTTATTTAGCTTCATTTTCACACCTGTTTTTTTTAACTTTGGCTTCAGAGAGCTTCTGAATTTTGTAACAGCCAGAACATTGAGAACTTGGTGTGGTCACAACCAGGCTTTGGAGTGCCATTCAAATGACTATCCTTCTGTCTGTGTTCCTGATTAGAGATGGGCATGAATCAGAAAAAATTGTGATTTTTTTTGATTCGTGATTCATCAGGGTTGACAAATCACAAAGTACAAATTTATGATTTTTTTTCTGATGACTCGATGAAGATTCGTGATTCATCAGGTCGACAAATGTATGATTTTTTTTCTGATGACTCGATGAATCAATTCATCAATTCATTTTTTAAATTTAAAACCCTATGAAATGCCCCCCTGAGCATTTAGGGAGACCAGATTTTCAGGGAAGCTTCCCCTGACTTGCCTCTACAATCCTTGCAAGTTTGGTGAAGTTTGAGTTTCAAATGTCTTAGTTATACACTCACAAGTAGGGCCCCACCAGGAAAGTTCCCGACGGTCACCTAGAGACACCAAAATTACAGAGAAGCTTCTACTGACTCTCCTCTATGTGCTTCAACACTAACATTTCAGGCTCTTCTGATGTATGTTACCCTGACAGGCTCATTCCCCTAGACACATTAGAACACATAAACACACTTGCACAAAAATGTATCAGTTCATAGGCTTGCTTGTGCACCAATATAAGCTGTGTAATTTGCCTGCCATCCTCTGCCCAGGACAATGGGTGAGACTCTCTCAAACGGGACATGTAGAAGCTGCCTAGGCTCATCCTTTAGAAGAAGCAGTGACGGAGGTGCAGCCCCATGAAACCCTCCTCAAAACTGTGGGTCAGGAAGCTGGATAGCTCAGTGGTTTAAGTACCTGGCTGCAGAGGCAGAAATTGGGAGTTTGATTCCCCCACTGTGCTTCCTTGACAGAGGCTGGACTTAGAGATCCACCTCTGCAGTTCTAAGATCAAGAATTCTTTTCCCAACCCCTTTTTAGGGAGGGAGTTTCTTCAGAAAGTAATGGGGCTGAAGTTCCTTCCCCTTGTCCTGCTCCAAAGATATACAGGAACATGGCTGGTCCTTCAGTCATTAGCTGCCACCCCTTGTTATTGTGCCTATATAATCCTCTTTCTTCTGCAGACACACAAGCACACAGTCCTTCTGTTCTGCCTTAAACAAACAAACAAACAAACAAACAAACAAACAAACAAACAAACAAACAAATGGACATCCTAATTTTAGGCATTTTTTTAAATCAAACATGCCACAGAAAGAAATTGTATCTATAAATATTGGTCATATTAACTTGCTCTTGTTGCTGTAGTATTTGAATTCATTCTATTAGAGGTGGTGGATTACCTGTTTTTCACTCCCTTTGCTGGGCAATTGGCTGGTTTTGCTTGGAACTAAAACCTCACCTCTTTTTCTTCCCATGAAACGAGTCAAGCTGTGGGCTGTGTGTCTTGGTTGCTGGCAGTGGCACCTGACCCAAGTAAAACCAGGCTCACCGTTCACAAAGTCAATAGGGCCTCCACGTCAAAAACTAAATGCTCTTTCATTAAGATCTGAAAGGGGTATCTAGGAAAGCATTACAGTGGTGATAAGGAGAGAGATGTCAAATGTTATATAGGTCCTTATCCTTTCACACTTAATAAGAGGTGTATCTGTATTGCACTTGGCTGGCCTGTATCTGAGTCGCGCCATCCTGTCCAAATGTCCAGTCTTCTCGGAAAGATGTTATACTCAGTGGCAGAAGAAATGATGAATGCAGAAAGTTGCTGGTCCAGTCCTTGGCACCTCCAGTTAAAAAGACTCAGGTGACAGATTATGAGAACTACCTTATTGACAGCCGCACCAGGCAAAAAAACCCTTCAACTTTTACACTCTTCTCATAGATTGACACTCAATTTCTCTCTCTCTCTCTCTCATACACACACACACACACACACACACACGCACGCACGCATGCATGCATGCATGCACCGTGGATGTCTTCTGGTTCTGGTGAGACAGGGGGCTTTGAAGGGAGATGCTGAGTGCAGGATGAAATGTAACCACACACCACAAAGTCCCCACCTCAGGGTTAAATGAACAAATAGTCTGACTTGGCATAGCATCTCATGTTTCTTGAGCAATTTCTTTGTTGTTACCTAAAAGAGGGGTTTCCCCTGTACTTGGCTTACTCCTGCTTAAGAGACAAACAGCATATGTTTCATACCATGCTGTCAAGTGGTTAGCTGGCTAAGAAGGCAGGATGCGGGCTTCCTAGGGATGTGTGTCCCCTTCTTGACTGCCTCTCCACGCTCTCCCTTCCCTCTCCAGGTGTATGTCCTGAAGCGACCCCATGTGGATGAGTTTCTGCGGCGGATGGGTGAGCTCTTTGAGTGTGTGCTCTTCACTGCTAGTCTGGCAAAGGTGAGCTCCTACCTACCCACCCCAACACACACACTCTCTCTCACACACACAAACAAAATGGTGATCAGGACAGTAGATTCTACAGTATTTGGAAAAGCTGTAACACTAGGGGGGGAACAAAACAAGCCATATTGGAGAAAAGGGTGGACTTCAAAGTCCTGTTTCCCAGCAGAAGCACATGACATTGGCCACACTGGCTGGGGGATTCTATTAGAGGCAGTCTTAAAAAGTAACTTTTCCAGCCTGTGAGAGAGATCAGATCAAGATATGCAGGTAGATCTCCTGGACTTCTGACTCCCGGTTGTTTTACAGTAGCAACCTTTCCCCAGCTAAATTGTTGTAATGAAGAACTCTTGGAGTGACCAGAAATGGACCTGTACAAAAGGCTTGCGGGGCCCTACTCAGCCTTGGTGCTAAGAAGAGGTTGCCTTGCTCACAATATGTTGGGAGGCTCTCTGTGCTTTAATTCTAATTATATCTGTTTTTCACTAGCCTCTGGCTGGTGGATCTTGACATTCTAATAAAAGCTGGATCCTTCACAGCCCCAGGCCTGCCTATCTGTGCTGGGAGCTGCAGCAGAAAGGGTGAACTGCCTCACCCAGAGTAGGGGTGAGCAAAGTCTTCAGGGAGAGGCTGTCCTTTGGGGTTTTAGTCATAGCAAAGCACTTGGAAAAGCCAGGGCTGTTGCAGGTACATGAATGATACGCAGAGTTTGTGAAAGTTACAATCTGAGCTCCGGCTTCCAGAGTCCCACAGCCAGTGGCCGGGTGGAGTGGGGGATTCTGCGTATTGTAGTCCACAGATATAAATAACATAAGCATTCCCCCAACTGCACAAATCTGAGCACCAGACTACCTGCACTTGGGTAAGGGGCCTTTCTTCTCCTTGAACTTGGACCTCAGTCTCCACCTGAGCAACAGGTAACAGCCAGGAATTCTGGGGGGGAAAGTACACCTTCTTGTTGGATAAGTGAAACTGAAAACAAATATCATGCATGGGGAGAAAGAGACACAATGCAAATCTTTTAATATGTATTGTGCAGCAATTACACACACACAAACAGACACAACTCATAGTACACCTGGAGAGTGCAGCCCAACTGACTGCCATTCCCGTCTCTTCCTTCCAACGCCCAGTATGCAGATCCTGTGGCTGACCTGCTGGATAAATGGGGAGCTTTCCGAGCCCGCCTCTTCCGTGAGTCTTGTGTCTTCCACCGTGGGAACTACGTCAAGGACCTCAGCCGCCTAGGCCGTGACCTGACACGGATCATCATAGTAGACAATTCACCCGCTTCTTACGTCTTCCATCCAGATAATGCTGTAGGTAGTAGATGGGTAGCTAAAACAAACCTCTGGATCTTGTGTGGTTTGTAAGTGGGTTTTTTCCTTGAGCAGGTCAGCTTTCTCCTCCTCATTATGCAAGCAGGACACAAAACCCTGATGATTGCAGCTGAAACAATGGGGTTTCCACAGAGGGCAAATGAGGCAAGCTTTTTGGCTGAAAGGGGCTGAGAACACAGCTGGGGATAATATGTCTTTCTTATTGTGAAAGGATCTCTTTGTGGGTAGGTAGGTAAAGCAGCACTTTCTTTTCCTGAGCTCTGATGATATGTATAGGTATGCTTTCAGACAGATACATGTAGATGTAGAATTTTTTTCCTTTTGTATTATTGGTGTATTTTGCTCTTTTGACCAGTAAGGGCCCCCAAAGCGATGTTCAGTAGATGGTTTAAACTAATTAAAACATCTTTAAAATATTTTTTGAAATATTTTTTTAAAAACTTGAAATATTAAAGAAAGGTTATTTAGGCAGCTGATTGAAAGCATTGTCTTAGAGCTAATTTAAGCACTTGTCATAACTATAGCCCAGTTTTTATACTGGGATTGTTCACCAGAGGCTGAGCGCCACTGTTCTGGAGGTGAGGCTGGCTCAGTCTACTGGAACCCTTTAGCCCTATTTGGGTGTTTTCCCTCACAGGGCTAACTAACTGTTGTGTGAAAAATACACATACTGGCGCTGTCTTGCCATGGCACACTCATCTCCCCAAATGTTTGTGGGGAATCATATGCACCTCAACTGAAACCATAACCCCAAACCCATCTACCCCATGGCAGCCTAGAATATGATCTCACCTTGGACATCTTGAGTAGGAGAGAATATAAATGCAGTGACCTTCCTAATGGCCATCACTTTCTTCCTGGAATTTTCTCCTTTTGAACAGCATTTTTCCCACATGAAGAATGTTTCTGATAAGTGAGATGTGGGTTACAGGGAGATAAGTGGCAGAAGAACTGAATGCCACATCTCCCCTTTCTTTTTATGACACTTGGTCAGATCCATATTTAAATGTACAGACTTACTACAGTTACTTGGGCCCTGAGATGCCTGCAGGATGGACCACTGTTTTGTAGGAGAGAAAAAGTTCACCCAAAATGTTTATAAGCAAGATCACTTTATGCTGGAAAGGGCTTCCATCTTTGTTGAAACTGCCTGTAAGGCACATCCCCCCTCTCCCGAAAAACATACTGTCGGCTCTCTGTGCAGGACTCTTTGGCCTCTCAGCCACCTCTTGTGAGTCCTTGTTTTGGCAAAGAATAGCACTCAACCTCCTCACTTCTCTCCTTCTTCCTTCCTGGCAGGTGCCTGTGGCTTCGTGGTTTGACAACATGGCCGACACGGAGCTTCTTGATCTCTTGCCGTTCTTTGAGAGACTCAGCAAAGTGGACAACGTGTATACAGTGCTAAAGCAGCACCGGACTAGCAGCTAGTGACTGCAGGGGGGCTTTGGGCAGGGGGAAAGAGGGGTGTAAGCCCATCTCCGCTGTTTCTTTCTGTCGAGCAGGGTGGCCTGCTCTCCCAAACTTAGCCCCTGGCAGCCTCACCAACCAGTGCAGTGCACAGGAAACCCTGAAGGGGGCAGCAGAGAGCAGTTGTTTCCATGGGGCATCAGAACAGAGGCCAGTGTCTGAGCGTAACCTTGAACCCCTGGGAGAAAATCTCCTAGATGCTGTATTTTAATGGTTTGCCCCCTTCCTATTGTATTATGGGATGTGGAGACCAGAATTTAACCTCCCCTCCTTTTTCTGCCTATCAAATGGGACCAAAACAATGGTCCTTTCCCTTCCAACCAGAACCTTGCCCGTTTCCATACCAACCGGTTGGGGGTGCTACACAAGGACCAGACACAGGTACCTACTGCATCTCAGCATCACTCCGTTCTCCCCCTGCTCCTTGTAGATGTTGTCCTAGATTTCTGGGAACAAGTGGCATAGGTACCTCCGCTTTGTTTTTGGCATTGGTCACTGACTGACTGGAAATGTTATCTAAGGGAGGTTGGAGGAGGAGCCTGAGAGAACAGGATAAACTTTTTTTGGACGACAGAGGACTGAAAAGAGAGGGAGGAAGAAGAAGACAGAAGTTGTAGAGGGAATTGGCTGCCTCTGTAAAGGAGACGATGCTTCTGCTTCCCAAAAAAACCTCAGCTGATGGGTTGTAGTCTGAGGTTGGAGGGCTGTATCTTCATAAAAGGGACAGCTTACTTGCAGGCAGCCGCTGTAGATAAGTTATCTCTCTTGGGATAGATACATGTTTATTGTTCCTTCTTGAAATATTCCATTTTGTAGAGGAAATTTCCACAACAATTTCCAGCTTGGAGAAGCAGACAGGGGAATAAGACAGTCTTTTTCTATCTGTAAGAGGTGGTGGAATGGAGGAGCGGCATTTTCTTCTGAGAAGTAAGAGAAAATTAGGTCTCCCAGTTTAGGCCCTGATATGGCCTTCAGAGGTTGCAGGAGTGACTAATCCAGTGGTTGGAGGACCCGCAGATCCCAAGCACAACTCATTCTTGGCTCTTCTGCTGATGGAAGGCAGAGCCCCAACCTGGATCAGTGGTTGATTACAGCAGAGAAGACAAAGACAGCTTTTGTTACCATATGCTTGTTTAGTGGAGAGACTGAGATGAAATGGAGTTAGGGGTTGTTCTTGAGGTGGTGTGCTGCAGGCTTGAAGATGGCTTGAGAAGAAAGTTGGTTGACCTGTCCTAAAGAGGACTGCTAGCATCTAGAACAGGGATGAGCAACTGTGACCTTCGAGAGTTTTTATTATTATTATTATTTTATTTTATTTTTATTTTTTTGCCTACAATTCTCATGAGCACTAGCCAGCAATACCATGGTGCGAGATCATGGGAGATGTAGTCCAAAAAACATACGGTCATAGTAGCTCAAACAACCAGGTGTGGGCAAAGACTGAGTTCATAAGCATGGGGTTGCCTTACAAGACTCACATAGGGCATACTTTAATTGTTGTACTTGTAGCTTCTTCCTATTTTGTACAAATCCTGACCTCCTCCTTCAGCCTCTGTCTTCTACAAGGTTCATGGTTTAGCTCCCTTAACTCTGTCCTTTCAGGGACTATGAGAATAAATCATGTGTACATAGGCTGGACTATGGGCAGGGGTAAAATCTGTATGTCTCTGCATTGGAGGAAAGAGGGTTTTTTCCTCTGGCACTGTGTGCTTCTATATTATGCTGTAGTGCCTTCAGGCTTCGCAGCCTACATGCCTGGCTTCGGTAGGGGGGGCCTGAGATGCAACAATTGCCGATGGGCTATAGTTGGAAACCCATAATCTTCCTGGACTGAAAGAGTACATGGGTAAATTGTGCCTTTTTAGAAGTGATGGACATGCCAGTATCTTTTGAGAGAGAATGGACATAGTGCAGGGTGATGTTGGTGGAAGGGCTTGCTCTTTCCATTGATTTAACAATAGTTCAAGCCACTTCCATTTCCCAGAGATGTTTTTAGCCAAAATCAAGATCCTTCCCATAGAGGAATCTACTTTCTTCCCATCTGTCTCTTAAGAGCTTTGAAAGCCCATGTAACAGGAAGGAATCTTGACTCAGAATGGAACTTTTTCGGTCCTCCTCTGTCCAGACACTTCTGCCAGATACTTATTTGCCTTGGATTTTTCTCCAGTGCCATCTTGACATTTGCCTTAAAATATGTCTCTCTTTTTTGAATACATGAAATCCTTGTGCCTTTTAGTCCTGTTCTTGCCTGCTTGTTTAAAAAAAAATTGTGATGTCACACATCTTTGGAGCCTTAGCCCATGCCAGGTTGAACGGTGTAAGGGTGGCACCATTGTGACTTGGGGAACAGGATTGGGGAGGAGTGCCTGATCCTGTAATTTTGGGAAAAGGCTGGTCAGGCGTTGGTTGTCAACTGTGGCTCATTGGTCGACCTGCTGTTAAGAGAGCACACAGCACATCAAAACTTGCTGCTAAGGAGCAACTGATTTGTTCTTCATAACACAGTATGATGTCACAGTTCAATCTTGCTAAACCCCTATTGTAATGGATTTGGAATAGAGGAAGTAACTCACTGCTGCCTGACCAGGCAGCTCCATCAGACTAGGATTCTGTCTCTTACTGTGTATAAAGGTTGCTTAGAAAGCTCTTGAACGTGGGGTTGCCTTTTCCAACAGCGATGGCTAAATTTAGCCCTCAGGCCAGTTCAATCATGAGAACTGTGGATCATTTATGCAGTGGAGGAAAAAAGTCATTTTTTTTAAAAAAATGAAATGTTAATTGTGATTTTATCCCCCCCCCAGAAGAACAATAAAATAATGATACCCCAGTCACTACTTCCTGAATCCCTCCCAGTCTCACATCAAAAGCATCCCCATGTTAACCACAAAAGAAAGGCTTTTAAAAAGCATCTCCTCTGATTTTTGTTTCACTCTGGTGCTTGCACATATAAATGGCTTTAATTGCTTAAACTATAAGAAAAAAATCCATACACACTCCTAGAAATGCATGTGGAACCCAGTCCTTGTAAATGCCCACGTGACACGAGCTAATCTGTGTGTCTCAGAATAATGTGTGGATTAAAATTTAGCCCTATACTGAATTTTGCTTTTCCATGAAAGTTGTGCCAGGATTCTCAGGAGTTCAAACATATCAAAAATGTGTTGAGAATACATATTTTCAAGTGTTTTTTTTTTAAAGTTCACATATGAATGTGACAATAAGGGCCCAGGATTCTATTGGTGTTCTTGTAAGCTTTCTGTAACTTGGCACAGCTGACTGCAGCTAAGTCACACGCTTAGTCACGTGCCTGACTATACAACTCTGATGCTCCTGGGCATCTCCTCATTAGCTACAGCAAGTTCCACACACCTTCCACAAACACCAATAGGCTTCTGGCCAATAATGTAGAAGTAAGGAGGAAAGCACGCAGAAAACAACGTAAACTGGAAACAAGTCGTTGGTCGCTCCACCATGTCTTTCAATCCCACCTGTACTGATGTCAAGTTAAAATGAATTGGCAGCAAAGGATCTTGTGACACACAAAAAATTACGTTTTGCAGGAACATGCTAATACCCCAAAATTTTTAAAGAAAATTAAAGCTGCTGTCCAATGTACCTTTATTTAGGTGGCACTACGTTCATCAGCGTAAACATGTGCTGGATTGCTTGCTATGCCTCTCTGTCTGCCTTGTCCAACCGTCTAGCTTTCAGAGGCACAAATACTAGTTGGCTTCCATCCAGCGTTCTCCTCTAGAGCGTAAGTGAGTTTGACCAAGTTCCTACCAGCAGAAATACAGTACATCGAATTCTACCATGTTCCAACCTTCTTATTTCTTGCACTGTAGTTTAAGGAAAAACACACACCCTTATTCCTCTGTTCAGCATATTCATTTGTTGCTCCATTCCAGCAGCCCTAAGAAGCCCATTTCTTAGCAGCCATGAGACACTCTTGACCCAACAGCCCCCAAATTGATGAAATGCTTGTTTTTTAAAGTGGTGCCAGACAGACCTTTTGTGTGGTTGAGCTGGCCTGTGCCTCCTCCCCCCCACCTCTTTTTGGACAGTTGTTTTTTATTTTATTTTTTTACAGGTCGGAGAAAGAAGAATTTTAACTGGGCACATTTCAGATTATATAAATATGTATAATGTGTATATATCTGGGGGTGGGGACGGGGGGTGGGGGAAAACAGTGGAAGGGGAAAACATCAGGATTTTTATAGCTGTGTTTTTAACATGTTTCTGGGAGATGGTGATTATTTTTGTGTGGTTGGTTGTCATTATTCCTCGTGTAAAAGGAAATGTGGTGGGAGTGGTTTTGCTTTTATGAGGTGATACCTCTTTGGGGGAGGGCCTACTTCCCTTCTCCAAATGCCTGCTGCTTCCCCTGACCTTATCCCTAAGACATGCCCTGGAGCAAGGGAGTGAAGTATCCATGGTTGCCTTTGACAGCCCTGGTGTTACCAGCTTTTAGCAGGGAGTCAAAGGGGAGTTACCAGGGAGACTTCGAAGCCCTCGTTCCTATTTTAATTTCTTTTCTAGCTGTGTCAGGCATGGAATGCCCAAAGCTGCCCCTCAAGAAGGAAGAGGCTTCCACCTCTTCTTCTCTTTCCCTCGCTGCACACATTGTCTTGATTCTATCCACACCTCTTTTCTCTGCTTTTTTTTTTAAAAAATCATATTTGCAAGCAGGGTCTAGCCTTAGAAGGACTGGCTTTTCTTCCAAAAGATTTTGACCGCCCCCACCCCACATCAAATTATCTCCTCCTCCTCCTCCTCCTGTTCTCACCTTACTGGGAAGTAGATTCAGTGCCATCAGCCAGTTTGAGTTCCCTAACACGGTACTGGAAACTTCAACATCTTATTAGAAAAGTATGGTAAGTGTTGAGATCTTCTCAGTGCCAACCTGAAAGATCCATCAAGAGCCACAAGTTTTCACCTTGAGACATAACGATGTGAAATGATTCAGTGGTTCGACTGCCCTTCTGAGTGTTCTGGGATGGGAGAGGACGGTGTCACTTCAGATTCTCACATACCGTACAGCTGTTGTTAAATTCTAATCATTAATGCTTGGTTTCTCCAAAGCAGTAGTGTATGGAGAAGGATTTTGCCCCCTCTTGCATCTGTACAGACTCTCGCAGCATCTCTTTTGACCACAAGCTGATCATTAACAATGGAAGAGAGCATGAAAAAAAAAAAATCAAAAAGTGCCTTCTCAAGTGATTCAAACTGTAAAAATAATCTTTAAAAAAGAAAATTACAAATCCTCAAGACCTGTCTCTGTCTTTTTGTATAGCGTACAAAGCATAAGCAGTTGCTGTATTTAAGGATAAGAAGAAAACCTAAATGGGGTTTGGCGGCTTTGCAAAGCGGAATGCTCCAAGCAATAACTTCGTAACGGTTTCTGTAAGAACACACACGGACATAGCAGTCAACTCTTTGTTCTGTTCAGATATGAGAAGCTCTCTCAAAAACAGAGGTTATGTGGATAGAGTTTAGATTGGTTGTGGAACATGGACGAAGAAAGAGGTTTGAGGTATTCTTCCTGAGAGAGTTCTAAAGGACACCACTTTGGGTACTAGCGCAGATCCTGGTCCATCTGAGAGCCCAGGGACTCTCAAGAACAGCAGGCAGAGAAGGACCTTCTCTTTTAACTTGATGTATCAGAGTTGGACCTGGGATTTTCCACACACAAATCATTACTACCGAGTTGGGAGTGCCTCTCACTGAATGCCAGGGACATGGTGGTGCTGCAGGGACGTGGTGGCGCTGCGGGCTAAACGGCAGAAGCCTGTGCTGCAGGGTCAGAAGACCAGCAGTCATAAGACTGAATCCACGCGACGGAGGGAGCTCCCGTCGCTTTGTCCCAGCTCCCTGCCAACCTAGCAGTTCAAAAGCATGCAAATGCAAGTACTGTAGATCAATAGGGACCACCTCGGTGGGAAGGTAACAGTGTTCCGTGTCTAAGTCGCACTGGCCATCTGACCACGGAAGATTGTCTTTGGACAAAATGCTGGCTCTATGGCTTGGAAACGGGGATGAGCACCGCCCCCTAGAGTCGAACACGACTGGACAAAAATTGTCAAGGGGAACCTTTACCTTTACCTCACTGAATGCCATATAATGGGTTGACATCCCACCTATTCTAAGTGTTCAGCTCACCAGCAATTAAGATGTGTCTCATTTTCTTGTCAAATAATGATTGTAGGCTGTTTCTTTTGCAACTCTTTGCTTATCTTCTGTACATGTCAGCTTTAACATATGCTTGTTTTAGGATCTAGTCCTGTGTGCATTTATTCGGGAGTCAATTCCACTGAACTCTGAGTTTACTTCTCAGTCAACATATACAGGATCTTGCAATTCTGTTTGACCTAACTAAAGGTAATATTTATTGACCTGGGGGGGGGGGTTCCGCATCCAAGGGAATGTGCACAGGTCGAAATGCAAAGAGTGCTTTTGCAAGGTAATGCCCATGTAAAGAATACTGAATTGTGTGCAGGAGCCATGCAACTGTGAAGTTGCCTGACCTTAATTTGTGCCTCCAAAAGCCATTTAGCTGTGAAGAAAGAAGGGGAGGGAGAAGGGAGTCTAACAGAGAGCCCTTGCTTTGACACAGAGTTTCCGTTTCTCCTGTCTCCTGGATGTGTGCAGTTTTAAGATGTTGATGGTGGTGCTGGTGTATCTGTTTGCCTGCCACATTGGGCAGGAGGTGCTGCTGGCAAACAGAAGGACACCTTTTATATAGGAAAGGGTGAAAATGACTGAAAGGAATGGAACTACAAAAGGAGACTCTACAAAAACGATGTCAGCGAATGCTGGGGAGGCCCTCAAATATTTCCCTGCCTGAAGTGAGATACAAGATGGCATGTTCCTCATATAATCAACTGGACCGGCAGTTCAGTATTACTTCAGCAATGAAGGTTGGTCAGTGCCTTCCTCAACACCTGAAAGCAGCAGGTTAGCTCAGGAAACACAGAGCAGGTGTTGTGCCATACGCCTATTTCTGCCCATCCAGCAGCAATGACATAAGGCAGCCACTGAACCATCCTAGAGCAGGGCTGGTCCTGAGGCAAGTAGTTACTGTTTATGCATAAATGTACTATTCAGGGCAATTCCCCTGCCTCTCAGTGTTCTAATTTGATACCCCTCTGCCACAGAACAGGCTTCCTTCATTGTCTTCTGACCCACGAGAGTTCCAAATGCCCTGGTTGGTTCTTGCCGTACAATGCCATTTTATAGGAACTGCTCAAAGTCTGCAGAGCAGTCCAACAAAGCTAGAAGTTTGCGAGTTTTCCTTCTCATTTGTATAAACACTGAAACCCTATGTCATTGCATTGTTAAATTTAATGACTATTACTGTTAATGCAAAAGGCAACAGGGCTTCACTCTTGATATGCCAAAATGATTCAAAAATATTCATATGGGAGAAGATCTCACAGGGCTTCTTACAGGATGTGAGCATTCAATGCCAGGTCAGAAACTTAATACAGTAATTACTGAAGCTGTTTGTTGTCCATTAGCAGAAACTGCAACTCAAACAATCTCCAGGTACACTTATTTATGTGGCATACATTACCTAAAGAGAAGAATTTCCCTCTTTTTTTCCTTCCTATCACTGTGATGAGAGAGAAATGATACTTGGTTTTATATCCCTTCCCAAGTAAGACAATTCTCAAACTTCTGCTAACTCTCTGAGGGCTCGGATGTCCCAAATGTAGGAACCAGAAACGGAAAACAGTTGTTGGTTGTTACTATTTTAAACTACAATCCTCAAAATATTCTAAGCAGAACAGCCAGTAGCTGGACTGACAGCTGAAACTCACTGAATTGCTTGCTATGAGACTGAATCTTCCACAAATCACGCCACAGGATCAGCCCTACTGTATGGGCTTACGCAGCTGTCGTTCCCAGCACCTTGGCTGCCTTGGTCTGAAACTGAGGCAGCAACCTTGCTCTGCCTAATGGTAGGGCCAGCCTAACAATTTAGTCTTATTTTGAAAGGGTGGTCCAGGCAGTCTTGGGGTTCTGCTGCCTGTGCATATTCCGTTTTGTCCTTTTCTGTTACATTTTGGAGGCTGGTGCATTTGTTCCCCAACGAGGCTACAAAAAGGCCCCATTTTCTTCATTTGTTTGTTTCTTCCTTATATTCAGATCCGGCTCTGTTTGTACTGGTTATGCTTGATTTGTCCTTTGTTGTTGTGGTCCCCCCCCCC